AATTGTCTGAAGAAGGCCTCATCTACCTGATCAAGAGGTCTGGAGCAGAAATCCACCCATCCTCCCACAATGCTGCCCATGTTGTTCTGCCCTCTGATCCTGGCCTATCAGCTCTCATCTAACTCACTGTTAGTCCCCAGGAAGAGCTCCATGCATTCCTGCTGCTCTCTCACACCAAGGGCAACCTCCCCTCCAGGTCCAGACCTGTGGCCTTATCAGTACCTGACTGCAAGACCCCACATTTTCTCCAGGTGCTGCTTTGGGCCACTTTCTCCCTTGAGCAACCAACTCACAGATCCTCTGGGCTCACCAGGGTCTAGTCCAGACATAGGGTCTCAAAATACCTGGCTCCCAGGACTCTCCTACTTGCTGGTTAAGCTGGTTTGATGTACACTAGTGGTTCCACCCACTGACATACCCACCAACATGACACATGCACACAGCCTGATCTCTCCAGTTGCTGGCCCTGAAGGTGCCTGAGCCCCTTTGACTCGTGCTTCCCACTCCAGGGATGGGCCCTTGGACCTCTATCCATACCAAGAGCAGACATCTCCTCACCCCAGAAAGTTGTGGTGGATGGAATTTCATAAGAAGACAGGACAGACTGGAGTCATCAGTTCCATGGTACGCCTAAAACAGTATACTGACCAGCCACATGTGACCAGCTCCTTTCATCTCCATTTCCCCCTGTTTTCCGATGCTTCTTTCTCCCCAAACCACCTTGGTCCTTCCCTTTCCCTGCCTTTGGTTCTTTCCTAGGCATGCCACAGCAAGCCTGGCACAATCCCCAGTGCTCTCTCTGGCATCCCATAAAGACTCTCAGACCCCCAGAGGCAGAAACCCCCACCCTCAGTCGGCAAGGTCACCCTGGGAGGCTCCTCCGATTGACCCACTTGTTAAATGTCACACCCAGATATTTTGGACCTCTCTGTGAACAAGTATTTTTCACTTTGGGTTTTAAATTGTTTCTCTGAAAACAGGGTGATTCTGGTCCTAAGAAATTGAAATTATTTTCGTTTGTGGAATTGTTGGAGATTAGGTCAGATAAACATGTCCATGTGGGGTATATGTGAAAAGGAGCACAGTTTGTCTGACCATGACCCAGTCCTGATGACATCAACTCCACGAGGCATTTACTGGCACTGATGACACATGATAAGGACCGTAACACGCATCTACCCTGATCACCTGGTAAGTCCTCTTCCATCCCGTCCACCTCCGTTTCTGTTATCCCTTCCTCAAAGGCTGTGTCACGTACACAAGACCCAATGAAAAAGATTTTAAAGAGTCGGAAGTGCAAGCCAGGCCGACAATAACCATTTTTCAGTGGTTAAAACATGCTCAATATGTCAAGCAGCAGTCATACCCTGAGATTAAAGACACCCTGGAGTATTTGAGGGCACATCATAGGAAGGATGACCAGGCACCTGTATTTGGTTTACATGGCAAGGTTTTTTGTTAGCAGCAGGGAGAGGGGCATGCAGGGGTGACTTCTGTGAGAAGATGCCAGAAGCTGCCCCATCCTGTCAGATGTGGGGTGCATGGGGTGAGCTGAGTCCTGCTTGAGCCCAAGGGCTTCCAGCTCTGGATGAGATGCCCACATTGCCTCAACCAAATTCCTGCCCTGCACAGGGGAAACAAATTCCTTCTTTATCCCTCCCTATGCATCCTTTTTTTGGTTTCGGACAGGAAAATTCCATTTTCCAGACAGACGCATTAACAGCTTTATCAGGCCAGACCATGTTGGAATCAGTCTCTCTCCACTGTTGGGAGAGGTACATTGGTGATTACTTCAGCTGACTTCAGAGAACATTCCCCAGGGGTAGCCCCGCTGCCTTTCGGGAGCTGTCAGCCCTCGAGCACCAGGGATCTTGCGAGGGACAGCAGCGGGGTAGAGAAAGTGGTGACTTGGGCTGGGCCGGGCTCCAGGGGCAGGAGGAGCTGATGGCAAGCGGGAAGCACTGGAGAGAGACAGCTCTGCCCGGGAGCAGCATCTCTGCGGAGCACGGCAGGGCTGAGGGCACTGCCCACGGGTGACAAGGGGAGAGGAGAGAAGTGAGAGGGATGTAAGACAGTGTGGAGTGGGAGGATGCTGAGAGTTCACTGGGGGACAAATCATCACAGCTCCTAACACGGTAAGTCTCTGGCTGCAGGTGGATACTGGTAGAGTCTCTGGGAGGGTCCTTCTAGAGCTGGCACATGCCAGGGCTGATGCTCTCTGGAGCAGTGATTATCTGCCGAACGGTCGGGGGGACGGGGCATGTCATCTCCCTTTTCCTGGGGACGGCTGCAGGAGCGTGAAGCTGGGTGTGCAGCCAGGGGCACCCCGGGCTGTCCTTCATCACAATCACCCCTGGTAGGGCAGGGTCATTGTGCTGTTGAGGGGGTGAGGCGTGGGTCAGGGCTGCCCACAGCTCCTGCTGACAGGCTGGACAGCTCTGGGGGGGAAACTTGCAAGAGAGAAAAAAGGGAGGCTTCAGCTGCAAGGGAAGGAGCCTGTGCTTTCAGTTTTCTACTCTGGGTTGCCTGGGTGAGCAGTGAGAGATGGGAATGACTCTCACTGGTTTGGAGAAGGTACTGACAATGCAGATCTGTTTCACTGAGAGGTGAATGAGTCTGGGAGCATCAGAGCAATCTCCCACAGCTTACAGATCACCAGCATCACCAGCAGCAGGCTTGGCAGGTTTTTCTCTGCCATTCCTACCTGAATTTTGAAGCAGAGAGAAGGTCCTGGGCAGTGCCCTGCCCCAGGAGGTGTCTGCAGGGCAGAGATGAGCACGCAGCAGCAGAGATGGGGTCTGTGCATGCAGGAGATGGGAACTGAGAAACCAGGCTGCCAGCAGGCACAGCTCCAGGCAGCAGAGACGTGGGCAGGGGATCTACTGGCACCTCTAGCCATGCCCTGCAGCGCAGGTCCCTTCCCCTGATGTTGGAAAATGGGTGAAGAAAAAACAGTTGTTTAGGTTAGCGTAAGAACTTAAGCAATCAAACACCTGCAACACGTTGTCTGTTGCACAGTGGTCCTTCAGCTAGGCAACTGTGATAAACACCTCATGGGGAATGCCTAAATGGAGAGGCTCTGTGTGTAAATTGGCAGACTCCTAATGAGAAGCCCTTGTCCTTGGAGATTAAGGTGCTCTGAAAAAGAATGAACTAGCTGAAGCTAGTTTGGAGATAAGAAGTGCATACATAAACCAATGAAGTCCAATTCTAATATGTAGGAAATGTTCAAGAAGAGCTTCTCTCCAAACACCACCACAGACTGCTAGAGACCACCAATGACCTCCATGGAAGTCCCTCGGAGACCTAAACTGCATGCCTAATAACTATGTATATATGATAATGAGTTTTAGGAAATTTGATGAATATGTATGTAAAAGAGGGATATGAGCTTTGGCTACTGTAATGTATGGTTTACATGTCAGGTGGAATGATTCCCTCATGTCCCCAGCCACATAAAGTAATGCCTGCTCATTAATGCTAAACCCAGCACTAAGGAGTTTTCATTCCCGATTTCTGTGACACTGACATCTCTCCCCTTCTCTCTCCCACCCAGAAGAGCCTCTGCCCTCACAGCCATGGAGTCCAGGCCACCAGCAGCCTCCTCGCCCCGCTGAGTTCCAAGAAGAGGTGAAGGGCATCTCTCCTGCCCCGTGCCCGTGCAGCACAGGGGCTGAGGGTGACTGCCCTGCGGTGTCACCGGCTGGGAGGTGGCGGGCAGAGCTGGGACAGGGGAAGGCTGTCCCGAGTGCCTGGCTGTCTCTCTTCTGGACTCTCCCAGCTGGGCCATTACGGTGCATCTCGTGGGTCCTCCCACGCAGACGTGTCCGTGGGAACCCAGTGTCCCAGCTCTCCTTGAAGCTGTGGGGCTCTGGGCTGTGCAGCCCGTGCGGGTGGGGACTGAGCTGACTTCAGGAGATGCCACCATGAGGACACTTGGTGACTCCTCGGGGTGTCCTCCCAAGCTGGGAGCTGCCCTGCAGACTGCAAATCTCTCCCCCAGCATTTGTGTGTAAAACTCAATGGGGAAACCCCGAGAAGCTACAAGCAGGGAAAGGGTGATTGGTTGGGAAAATTAACTGTGCCCTTGACAAGGAGTGGGGTGCTGAGACCTTGTGAAGGTGCCTGGTGGCAGGGTGAAATACTTAGTGATCTGCAGTGGATCCCTCTGCTCTCAGTGGGGTCTGATTGCTTCTCCGGGTACCTCAGGAGTGCAATCCCCCCTCCATTTCAAGGGGCAGACACAGGGCAGCTGGGAACAAGACAAATGGACAGACCAGCTCACCTGCCCCTCTGCTAAGCCACAGTAAATCCTTTTGCCTCCCAGGACTTGCGGCTGCTCTTCCTGAGCGCAGCAGAGATGCTCAGCATTTCTGCCTTCAGAAAATACTCCCTAAAGGAGATGGGGCTGGGGTGAGTTATTCTGGTGGAAAGGAATAACTTTATGAAAGAAAAAACACACAAAAAAAAAGCCTGTTTCAGTCAAGTTTGCTTGGTATTTGGGATGGAGATGCTGTCAAGCCCTTTGATGATGAGAGGGAATTCACCTGAGAAAATCTATCAGACCTGGTCCCTACGTGCCCCCTGCTCTCAGGCAGACCCTGGCCTAGAGCATGTCCAACACATCTGGGAGCCCACGGGCCCTGCTCTTCACAGCACCCCCAGCCAGCACAAACCAGAGCAATAGCCAGGGAGCTGCACAAAGGTCCTGCCAAGCAGGAAAAAGTAAGGGGGGTGTGGCTGAGGGAGCATGAATATTTGAGGGATGTCTTTGCACAGATAAGTCTGTCCTCACTTGTCACTGTCTTTTCCTTCTGGTACAGGACCCCTGGGTTCATATGGAGACCATGTCCAACAGCAGCTCCATCACCCACTTCCTCCTCCTGGCATTTGCAGACAGACGGGAGCTGCAGCTCTTGCACTTCTGGCTCTTCCTGGGCATCTACCTGGCTGCCCTCCTGGGCAACGGCCTCATCATCACAGCCATCACCTGCGACCACCACCTCCACACCCCCATGTACTTCTTCCTCCTCAACCTCTCCCTCCTCGACCTGGGCTCCATCTCAAACACTCTCCCCAATTCCATGGCCAATTCCTTACAGGATAACAGGGCTATCTCCTACCAAAGCTGCGCTGTCCAGGTCTTTTTCTTTGCATTTTTCCTTGGAGGAGAGTGTGCTCTTCTCACAATCATGGCCTATGACCGCTACGTTGCCATCTGCCAACCCCTGCACTACAGGACCCTCCTGGGCAGCAGAGCTTGTGTCCACATGGCAGCAGCTGCCTGGGGCACTGGGTTCCTCAATTCTCTCCTGCACACTGTAAATACTTTTTCTGTACCACTCTGCCACGGCAATGTGGTGGACCAGTTCTTCTGTGAAATTCCCCAGATCCTCAAGCTCTCCTGTTCAGACTCAGGCTATCTTAGGGAAGTTGGGTTTCTTGTGGCTAGTATATTTGTAGTCTTTGCTTGTTTTATTTTCATTGTGCTGTCCTATGTGCAGATCTTCAGGGCCGTGCTGAGGATCCCCTCTGAGCAGGGACAGCACAAAGCCTTTTTCACGTGTCTCCCTCACCTGGCCGTGGTCACTCTGTTCATCAGCACTTCATTTTTTGCCTACCTGAAGCCCCCTGCTATCTCTTCTCCAGCCCTGGACCTGGTGGTGGCTGTTCTGTACTCAGTGGTACCTCCAACTTTGAACCCCTTCATCTACAGCATGAGGAACAGGGAGCTCAAGGATGCGGTGAAGGAATTGATCCAACGCACCTTGTTCCACCAGCAGTAACCTGCCTCACCTATTCTGCAGATTACTTGCAACTTTGATTAGGTCAGACTTCTGTTTTATATTTCCCTTGTAATAATTGTCGTAAGAGGTAACTGCTTGGCTTCATTCTACTTCTCTAGAGGCTTCATCTGTTGTGTCTGACCCTTTCACAAATGCCTTGAACACTCTACCTAATCCAGCCGACATGATAACATCTCAGCAATAAAAGGGGTCTCCTGCGTGCAGTGCCTGAAGGCTGGGCTGTCCTAAGAATGATGCTGCCAAAAATAAGCACAAAGAATTGGACTTTTAAAAATGTCTTTTCTCAATCTTTTCTCCCTGTATTAGAGGTGGTAAAATTGTGGCAACTCTGAGATTTACTGGACAGCAAGTGGTGCTTTTAAAGACTATTCCTGGTGTCCAGGTGCTGTGTAGATGCTGCAGGAGCCCTCCATTACCTCTTAGGTAGCCACATATATAGCAGGGCTGATGGCATATAGTGTTCCCTGTGGAAAGGATTCTGGAGTGGTCAGGAAAGAAAAGACACTCTCTGTGTGCCCTGGGGTGGGCAGTGAATGGACACTCAGAAGATGAGACACCCCTCAAAGGTGAAACTCATCCAGAGTAAAGCATTAATCCAGACACCCACAAGCCATGACCCTGCAGTTCAGTGTGATCCAGCGAAAATGATCAGGCACAGGGGAAGGAGACTGGAGAAATGTGGAAGCTGCCCGAGGAGCCCCAGGGCAGGGGGTCTCCTGCTGTCCTGGGCAGCAGGGCTGGTGGGGAGGCAGAAGGGGAACAAAGGCAGCCAGGGCTGAGGGTCACTTGCAACATGAATGCAGGACAGACAGAGAGTGCCTGGCCTCTGTTTCCTTACGCCCTTTGGACCAGCTCAAATAGTGGGAACACTGAGGATGCTGCCATCCCTCCCTGGGATGCTCCCTGGGGCTTCTGTGCCCTTCAGAAGGGTTGGAGCTGTGGGGTGAGTGCCCAAGTCCCAGCCCACTCCTGACCTCTCCCCTGGCTCAGTCAGACAGAGCTTTTTGATCAGGTCGTCAGCCGAAGGACAAGGCAAAACATGTAGCACTGACCTGCCTGCCACAATGGTCTTACAGGTAGCTGTGAGATCCCTCACAAGTATGGGGAATTGGATGTCCCCCCCACCACCTGAATTTTTGGTGTCACACCTCAAAAAGCAGTTTGCATTTCACAGGCCCATTGTCTGTTTCTTCTCCTTCAGGTGGTTCTTCCTGGGGATCCCCTTTGGGTCTTTTCCTCTTTGTTCTGACGCACATGGCCTTCCCAAGTTGGCATTTTGCCCTGGTTTTCCATTTTTGTAGCCCACATGGACTGTGTCTTCCTGCACAGTTCAAATCCCAGACCTGGCCCTAGTAACCCTGCATGGCTGGTCTGGGATGTGGGGGCCTCCCAGTCTGGCTCACTGGGCTGGACCCCTCTTTACACGTGACAGGATTTGTTATGGGGGCCCCTTGGAGTGTGACACAGTGGGAGAGTCCTCCTCTCTCCTTGCATCTCTGGTCTCTATGTGAAACATTCTAACTCAATTCTAACTCTATTTTCCTTTGTGGGTTTCCTCCATGCAGTAATTAGTAAGGTGAACCTCACCATCAATCTTACTGAACCTTATCAAGCCCCTGTCAAAACTTTGTTCAGTTCCATCACACTTATGGAACTCTGTCTATTTAGTACTTTACCTCAATAAAACATATTGCTGATTCCCTCTTTTGAATGAGGTGCATTCTGCTCTTCTCCAACACCATGGAGGGCCAAGGTCCTTCTTTTCCACTCTCTCCTAGTAGGACCCCTAGGAGGAAGAACATTTCTCTGTGTTCATTGCTTAAAAGAATGGTGAAGGAAGTTCAGCAAGGTGAACCACGGAGGTGTGTGTTTCTGAGTGCATTAATATTCCCTAAATGTGCTCTGTGCCTTCTGGCAGTTGAGAAATGCCTTCTTCCCGAGGGCAACATTGCTGATGCTTACAGAACCCCTTCTGACTATGCAGATGAGGTGCTCCACATGTGTGCTTCTCTCATAGCGTGCATTTGAAGGCAGAGGCCAGATAGCCAAAAATGAATATTGTACTGGCAATGAGCCTTTCCAAGGTTGTTATGAGCCAGCCTGGGAATGCAGGGAAGCATAAAGGTTCTGTGGTCCCCTTGGGTTAAAGTGAAATGACACCAAATGACTGGTTAAAATGTTTTACTTGCAGTAGAAACAACTTAAACTTGGAAAAGAATAGCAAGCCCTGTGGCTTCTTATTAATAAACCTGTAAGGAAGAAAAGAAAGGAAGAAAAGGAAAAGGGAGAGAGAGAAAGAGAGTCGAAGTATGTGGATCACCACCCCAAGTTCCAGCATTGTCTCAGGTCTGGTAATCTTGAGTGGTAGGTGCACCCCCAGCAAAGTTTTCTGTTGCCTTTTAAGTTCATTTTCTCTGCTGATGTTTATACTAGACAAGGAGAGGCAGGTTCTCCTCCAACTCATTTCCATGAGAGATGAGGAAAAGGTGGAGCATGGTTTCTGTGTGTGCTTGGAAGGGGGGATGGGTTGCATTAACCATTTTGACCAGTTGAGTCGGTGCTCATGCTCTCCCCCTCCCACCTTTACTTTTCCCCCAATTTTTGCTCCTTGGGCAATTATCCAGCCTTTAGCTGCATCTGGGGCAGGATGTTTCACTCTTTTCCATATTTTAGCTCTTCTTCAAGTGTATAGTCATTAGCAAGGCCCACATCATTTATCAAGCTCCTAAGTTAAAGCCTAGGCATTGACTCAAACATATGGTTCGACTCAGTCTCCCTGCTTTGAGTCTCCTCTGGAGAACTTGGCAATACAACAGCAAAGCAGTGAAGCTGTGCACCCTTCGATATACTCTGTGCTTCCCTGGGCAGATAGTTTGTTCCTTAGACTAAGCACAAAGGCATATATTCCATAAACTCATTTCAATCAGAGACAAGGAAAAGGTGAAACGTGGGTTCTGTGTGTGCGTTGAGGGGGGATCAGGTGCACCTACCCCCTTGTCAATTGAGTCAGTGGTTGTGCTCGCCCCAGCACCTTTGATTTTTTCCTCAGTTTTTGCTTAGGTCCTTCTGGTGCTGGTTCTTTCTCTCTCTTATCAGTCCTTTAACCTGAACATATGGTTTCACTCTGTTTCCCTTCATTGAGGCTTATCTAAGGAATTTAGCAATACAACCATGAGGGAGAGGAGCTGTGCACCCTTCGATACACTCCGTGCTTCCTTGGGCGGTGTTCCTTAGACTGATCACAACGGCCAAATCTTGTCAAATTCTTCTGTGTTGATGACTGTTTGAGGCATCAGTTCTTTCAGTTTCTTACACATGGCTGCCTGCAAAACCCTAAGTGGGGCTCACCTAGGGTCGGGTGGTGGTGAGAGGCTGCCACTGCTGGAGGAAGAACCATGGGCGGCTGCCACGGGGTCTGTGCTGGGCAGACATTTCCCCACCCTGAACAACCACCCTGGTCCACACAGTGCCTGCACCATGGGGCTGTGGGGCCATGTGGGGCAGCAGGACTTGGCCAGCCCAGCTGAGGAGGTCCTCCCTGCTCTGCCCACTGCCACCCATCGGCACTGCCACAGCCTCTCTGTGCTGGGCGATGAGGTTTCTGTGGGTTCCCTTCTGTGAGCTGCGTGGGCACCCACAGGGTGTGTCTCTGCTTGGAGCTGGTCACCTTGGCCTGCCCTGCACGGTCCTGGCAAGGCTTGGCCTTGGAGATGGGCAGTGATAGTCCTCAGCCCATGGCATGAGTGCCAGCCTAGGAATGACTCCTGCAGAAGAGCTCACACTGCGCTGGGGGCATGGGTGAGCCCTTCAAGATGTCCTCACACCAGGATTCTTCTTGGTACAAAGGGGAACCATGGCAGCCTGAAGTGGTTTCTGCTGGATGGAAGCTGTGAGGGTTGCACAAGCACTCACAGGTAGAAGGAAGATTTTTTAAAAGGAAAAATTTATTGGGCTCTAATGCCTTCAGTGCAGTGGGGGTGCATACAGGCACAACTCTGATACCCAACTCCACCACCGTTATGACCAAAGAAGAAAACAGCTTCATACTGACCCTCAGACCTGATGTGCCATAGCTCCTGCCTAAGTTGGTCTCCAAGCCCGTTCTCAGAGAACTCGTGCTAGATCCAGTGCACTGGACCTCATCTCAATGAATTTAGAACATGTCTACTGACTAATATCCCACCATCTCCCCTGGCCATTGCTCTGCTGTTCAGCTCTGAGGGATTTCTCCAAAAAACCCAACCCTCAAAACCAAACAGCCCACTTAGCCTCTCCTAGTACACAATGTGCTCCAGGCCCCAACCATCTTTCCAGCCTCTGCTGGACTATTCACAGCCTGTCAAGGTCTTTCTTGTGCTGGGGAGACCCACACTGCACACAGCAATCCTACTGGGGTCCATGAATAAGGGAGAAGAGTCACTTCCCTTTCCCTGCTGGCTGTGATTTTGCTAATCCAGACCTTGATGAGTTTGGCCTGCCTCTTCCCAAGGGCACACTGCTCCCTCCTGTCCCACTTGTGCACCCAGACTCCCCGGTCCTTTTCTGCAGAGCTGCTCTCCCCAGCCTGGCCTCTTGTCTGGAGTTGTCTTAGCACAGTGGCAGGATGAACACAGGCATTTGTCTTCAGCTTTGTGCGGGTCCCAGGCAGCCCTTCTCACTGAGGGCTACTGCATCCACCTCTCTCCTCATCCAAAGGGCCCATCATCTCATTGTAAATGGTATTCAGGTTGGCCAGGCACAGTTTGCCCTTGTACAGTTTTTACTGGCAGTTCCAAATCCCCTTCTTGTCCTTCAGGTGCTTGGAAATGGCTTCCAGGAAGATTGGCTCCATCACTTTCCCAGGGACAGATGTGAGGCTGAGCAGCCTGTAGCTCCCTCATCTTCCTTTCTGCTCTTCATGAAGATGGGTGGCATGTTTGCCTTTTCCCAGGCATCAGGATCCTCCCTGACTGCCATGGCCTTTCCAGGGTGACAGAAGC